TTGGGGTAAAAGGCTTGCGGTGTGGAGCCCAGCCAGACGGCCCAAGCCCAGGTGCCAGAGCGCGGCAGGTGCCGCCCACCCGGCCCGAGGAGACCTGGGGACAGGGCTGGGCCGTGTGACCTGCCGGAACCCTGAGCTTTCGAGAGAAATCTGGGTATTTTTAGTGAACTGTGTTCTTGTGGTAGCTAATCCCGGTATCGGAAGCCCCTTTGCAGGCCAGCCAGAGCCCCCCGAGAGCCGCCTAAATAGCCCCATCTGGGTTCTGGGGTCCTCGGAGCCGCCAGGGTTTCCCAGCCCAGAGCATCCCTGGGCCCGGCCTCCGCAAGGCTTAGGCGAAGGGCCGGAGACACAGGACCCGGACAGGACAGGCTTGCACAAACATGAGCGTTTGGGGGGACGGTGCAGGGGCGTGAGCGTCGGGTGAAGGGTGCGGGGCGTGAGCCTGGGGGGACGGTGCGGGGCGTGAGCCTGGGCGGTGAAGGGTGCGGGGCGTGAACCTGAGGGGACGGTGTGGCGGATTCAGCCCCAGTGGCAGTGGGCTGGCGGGGCTGCAGTCATCTGCCCTTGTTGGGGCAGGAGGGGCGGGCCCAGGGGTGGGACTGGTCAGAAAAATCCCCTGCCTTGGAGGGTTCCAGGAACACTGCCCGGCCTCCGCGTTTGTGGTCAGGGTCATGCCTCAGAGGCTCAGCACTGAGCTGGCTCCCAACTCCCAGAGGACACCCGCCCAGCCTGTAGCCAGACCTTCAGCTGGAGCAGCCCCGGCGTGGGTGCCGAAGGCTGTTCAGGGGAAGCTGGGCCAAACAAGCTGGGGGTGGCGTGGTCTTTGGGGGCCTCTGTTGCCTCCGGAAGGGTGGACGACCTCACGTCCAGTCATGTAAGCGACTAAGCAGGGTCCATCTGGGACAGTTTCCTCCCAACTCCCGTCCCAGCTCTTTGCCTCTTCAAGGCCTCTCCCTCACAGCACCCCGTTATGGGGGCATGATAGGGGCCACATCCGTCCCCCATACCTCATGCATTTCTTTCCACATTCAGAGGTGACCCTGGCTTGCAGGCATCTGCCCTGGGCCTGAGCTGTTTCATTTGACTTCAGTGGTACTTTTTAAAACTCGGAAGCCATTGCCAACATTGAAAAAGCTGGTGGTTTCACCTGGAAACAGGACTTCCCGGCTTGCTGTGACTAGGAAGTCCGCACCCCTTTGACCGAGGCCGGGCTCACGGGGTGCCCCAGTCCCAATCGTTCCCTGTTGCTCCACACCAGGCTGCTTCACTTGCTGCCCTCCCACTCAGCCCCGGCAGCACCTGGTTTGCAGTCAGTGTTGTGTGTCTCTGGCCACACTGTCCCTGTGTCTCTGTCCTGGGACCCTGTGTCCCCCAGGCTCTCAGGAAGGCCCACAGAGTCCCTCGGAGAATGCTCTGAGGACCTCTGGCCTGTTTTCCCGAGGTGCAGGACTTCCTGTCCTGAAGAAGTCACATACCCCTGCACCTGGTCTCCAGCACAGGGTCCCAGCTGCCTTAAAAGAAAACACACACACAGGCCAGGCCCACCCCCACCCCCCGAGCCACCCCCGTGGCTGCAGGAGACCCCTTCCTCACCCTTCTCTCAGGGGTCTTCAGGGCACCACTCCCTTTAGAACATGGGCACCCAGGAGCCTCCGTGGGGGGTGGCTAGGGAATATGGGGCGGGTCTCGGTCCAGGGGGAGACCCACTGCCCAGCCTGGGTACCAGGACAACTCCAAGGGTCCTGGCTGCTCTGGAGCCCTGGCAGTGCCAGCATGTCCTGGCGAGTGTGAGGGAGATCAGCTGGAAAGGGGAGACAGAGGACTCTTGAAGGGGCCTTCCCAGCTGGCGCGGGGTCTCCCATGCGTGCTAGCTGAGGCACCCTGAGAGCGGACGGGACTGCGCACTCGGGCCAGCCCTGCCTCCACTAACCGTCCCCCCTCCCCCCCACTGTCCTGCATCTTCGGGAACTGGGCTGGGGGCAGGGACAGGTCTGGACTTTAGATGCTGATGACTTTGGGTTTGGGGACAGGTCCAAATGACCCCCTTGCCCTGCTGCCCCCCAGCAATGGACAGCAGGTAGGGGCTTGCACCAGCTGTCACCACTCTGGTCCTCTGCCAGGCCCCAGCCCAGTCTGCATCCCCAACCCAGACCCAGCTTGACTCTCTTTACGAGGCCTGGGGTCAGACCCGTGCCAGCTGTTGGCCAATCTCGGGGCCGGGTGCCATGACCCCGTTTCCTGGCCCGTGCGGCAATGTGCAGGCTGCCCTGGCCCGGTGGAGCTGCCCAGATGGCCCTGCCCCAGGCGGGGAAGACTGGCCCGACCTGTCGGAGGAGCCAGTCCCGCCCTCCGTGACTTCCTGCCCCCGCGCCACCCGCACCTGAGTCAGTGGGCCATCTGCAGGGGTGGGGTGCGCGGGGCTGGTCGAGCCTTTTCAGGAGGCTGGTTTCGAGCCTCTGTGACCTGCAGGCCTGTCCCCCAGTTGTCCACAGGCACGAGACCCTCCCGCCCACCTCCACATAGGACCTGTGCTCGGGGCACAACGCGCCCTGCCCCTTATCACCGAGGGCATGCCGTCAGCTTTTCACTGTTTGTCGGGGGGGGGCAGAGCCTCCCTGATGTCTGGCCTCCAACCGCCCTATCCCGAGCCTCACCCCTCACCCTCGCCACCCAGGCCGCCAGCCTTGTGGTCCTCCCTGCCCCTCAAATAAATGGTGACGCCCCTGGCCACAGGGCCTTTGCAACGCTGCTCTTGCTTTCTGGAGCTCTTTCCGGGTGACGTGGCTGATTTCCCCCGAAACTTCGAGTCCCCTGTGGCCAGCCGCCGCCTGGTCCCTCTGCCTCCGGCCCCGTGTCCTCAGAGAACTTTCCCGTCAGTGTTTATCCCATGGGGTCTGCCTCTCCCCCAGCCTATGAGCTGCTTGAGGGCGGGCGGCCGGTGGGGGAGTCTCCTGTCCATACCACATTCGTGCTGCAGGCCGAGCCAAGGGCAGGCACAGACCACGACGGCACGAACCGTGGGAGTGAGCGTGTGCATGAGCCCTGCTGAAGCTGCCGAGGGCCTGAGTGCAGCCCGCTGGGAACCGACATCAGGGTGGGGACCCCAGCCCGGTCCCCACAGCAGGCAGTGGTCAGACTGGGTCAAGGAGGACAGTTCTGAGTGGCTCACCCTGCCGGCCCCAGATAATTAGAGACCCGTGTTACTCACAGGTGACCGGCCCGGTCACTCCAGGAAGCTGTGGAGACACCGGGCCCTCCCCAGCTTCCCAGCTCACTCTGGACCCGGCAGGGGGAGGGGAGGCAGCGGGCAGCTTCGGGCAGCCGGCCGGGGAGAGCTGGACGTTGGTTGCCTGGGTGAGGGATGGAGGCAGCTGCCGCAGCTGGGCGACCTCTGACCACGGGGTCCACGGTGAGGCTGGTTTGTTTGGAAGTGTGTCAGGGTGGGGGTCCAGGCCTGTGGGTCCCCAGGGACGTGAGACCCAGGCCAGAGACAAGAAACAAACGATGAAGGACACCCTGGGGCTGCAGGCCACACCCCGAGGGCCGGCCCGCCGCCCCCGCAGAGCCCGGGGAGGGGAGCGGGCCCCTGGCAGTGCTGCCCTTGACCGTGGCTGCGGTGGGGCAGGTGGGGGGCCCAGGGACTCCAGCCTGCCTCGGCTGCCCAGCCCTGTGCCTCCACCTCCCCCCCACGCGCCGCGGACAGAGAGCTCTGCCTCTGGGGGTGCGGCCAGAGTGTCTGAGCTGTCACCAGAGCCCAGGAGTGTGAGGTGACAGGCCGGCGTGCGGCCCCAGAGCACCACAGGGAGGCGCCTGGTTGCCGCCGCCCCCGCCTGCCCGCTGATGTCTGACTGGCGAGACGCAGCAGGGGTGGGGTCTCCCCAGACCTGGGGCCGGGATGGACTTAGGGGCCACGGCGCAGAAAGCGGGCACGGCTCCCGTGCTGGGGGCGGAGCAGCTGGCAGCCAGGAAGGAAGGCTGAGGCCCGCCCGCGCGTGTGCCGTGGCGACACGGGGGAGGTGGCTGAAAGGCCGGGAGGAGGCTGGACACAGCGGGGGCCCGCATCGCTCCGGACACTGACTGGCCGGACCCCGCCCGGGGCCACAAGGCCCACAGCCTTCCTGCTGCCCGTGCCAGGGGTGACTGGCCACATCCTGCTGACCGGCCCTTTCTCCCCAGGCCTCTGATGCCCCTGCTGGACCCCGACTCCGGGCTCCTGGTCCTGGCAGGAAAGGTGAGTGAGAAGCGGGAACCCTGCCCTTGTCCACCCAGGTCAGCCTGCCCACCCTTGCGGGCTCCCCCAGCCTTTGACCTCAGCAGCTGGCGGGACAGTGGGACGGGCTGGTGTTATCACTCCGGGAAAGAAGGACCCAGAACAGTGTTGCCCAGGCTGCGCCGAGCCAGACTGAGCAGCCTCTGCATGTCCCGCTTCGGTCTGTGTTAGTGTGGTCAGGATGTCCAGGGGCCCGGGACACCTGCTGCCTGTGGACAGAGAACAGGGCAGTGCTGGCACACAGTGGGCACTCAGACGCCCAGCGCCGCCCGGGTGCTCCCCCCACGGTAGTGACCGACAGGGAGGGCGGACCACGCCGGCCGGCTCGGTGCCCGGGCCTTCTGTGGGCCAGGTCCCCAGGACGGGGCTGGCGCCTGCCCAGTGAGGTGCAGCCTCAGTGAGGCTCCTTTCAGGGCGAGAGTCAGCTCTCCTGCTACGAGGTGGTCCCACAGCAGCCGGCCCTGAGCCCAGGTGAGC